CTGCCACTGCATGGATGAGCTAGGCCTGGTCTGTGCTATTGAGGTATCCTAATTGCCACACCCCTCGTATAGAGCAAGCATCCGTTTTCTTGTGTGTGTCTAGGATTCTGTTATTCACTGTATCGTATCATTCTTTTCTGATCCTATAAAATTTCACCATTCTAATTGTAACAGGCTACTAAGATCTGTATAGATGCTGTAAGTTCTTCAAATTCTACTGATCGTCGCAACTTTGTCATGGTGAATGTAGCTCAGTGCAAATCTTTTCTTGAGGAAGTATTGCAAAAACTTGCAGAAAGATTGCCAGCAGGTATTATAACACAGTTTCATACTTGATTTTTGTAATGATTTTGTTGTATTATTCTTTTAATCATTTTGTTCTATAAATGATTGTGGTTCTCTGGTTATTGGTAACTTGATTATGTGGTTCTATAATTTTCCTTGAATATGACAATGTAGGTGTACAACTTCCATGTTGCCATGAATAATGCATTCCATTTATTGATTTAGGGGGGGGGGGGATAATAGTTAGACATGCTATGTTTGGGTTTGAGTGTTGACCGAAACCCAGACTAGCTTGTACCATATTATACACTGGATTTGTGAGGTTTATCAGTTGATATGCCTCACCACCCGGTAAAGTCGAAATTCGATCGTTATTGATTGATACTAGTTGGTAATTGTCGGATTTCAACTGATACCAGGCTGAATTTATCATTTTAGTCCCTAATGGTTGATTTGACTATTGGAAGCTCTTTTGGGCTTATAAAAGCCCCTCCCTATCACCTCTTTTACTCTCTCTCGCTCACTTCTCATCTCAGTCTCATTATCACTCTTTCTGTTAACTTAGGCTCTTAAACTTGTCTATTATCCCAAGTTGGCGATTGGAAGGTTGATTTGGATAAAAGTTGGATTTAAACATGAGGTCTAGTGGAACTTGTATTCATTTGAAAGTATGTACCTTCTCTTTAAGTTTTCTTCGTCATTTCATGTAATTGGAGTAAAGAATATTAGTATGTACCTCTCTTTAATATTAGCTAGCAAGCTAATATGTCATGCTAATATTTGAATGCAATTGGTGTGTGTGTGTGTGTGAGAAACATGCAATATGCCATAACGCCCGAAACTGAGTGAAACATGCGATACGTGCGGGTCTGAGTGCTGACCATAACCCAGACTAGATTGTACCTTTTGATACACTAGATTTGTGAGGTGTACCAGTTGATATGCCTTACCACCCGGTAAGGTCAAAATTTGACTGTTATTCTCCTCTTTCACTCACTCTCGTTCACTTCATTCTCATTCCCACTCTTTTTGTTAACCTAGACTCTTAAACATGTCTAGGCGGCGATTGGAAGGTTGATTTGGATAAAAGATGGATTTAAACATGAGGTCTAGTGGAACTTGTATTCATTTGAAAGTATGTACCTTCTCTTTATGTTTTCTTTATCATTTCATGTAATTGGAGTAAAGAATATTAGTAAATCTTGATTGATTATGGTCTAATGATTAATCAAGATCTAATAAGAGGTACCTAAGAAAAATTTGCTTATATTGACTATGCATTGACTTCTTGCATGATTTACGAGATGTTTAATGGGTTAGAGGCTTTCAGTTCATGGTTACGTAGATTGAGCGTAGTTAAGATCTAACGGGTGGGAATTAAGGAATTTAAGCATATTGCACCGTGTTTTTACTTCTTACATAATTTTATAGCTCATTCTACCATGTATTACAGCTCTTTAGAGGCTTATTATTGTATGATTAAGAAGAATAATCATAATTAAGGCAAAAGAAGGAATTTTTTTTTACATTTACACCGGATTATGGGGTAACTAGGGGTAATTTAGTGCGAATTACAACATGGTTATTATCGTTCGATTATGAAATTATTGGTGGATTCAAGGCTTCTTCTTGCCTTTAATGTGATTAAAGGCTAATTAGAGCTAATTAAGGTTTTTCTTACTTTTAGACCAAATTAGGGATAATTATAGTATGCTTATTGTTCCTTATAGTCACTTAGTGGTCATTAGGGATAATTTAGGACCATGTGACATAATTCTTCCTCGACGAATCCAATAAGACAAAGAGTTTCTATTTTCGATCCTTATAGCTTAGAATTTCTATGGATTTATGACTTATATATATACTTTATTCTTATTTAATTTTAATTTATATACAAAGAAATTAGGAAAAAAACCACAAATGGTTTATTTTTTATTTTTGGATTTTTCAACTGATTTTTTAAATCATCAATTTGTACCAGTGTACCCACACATGGTACACCAGTATTGATTGGTACACACCCATCTGACCAGGGACCGGTACCCAGTGTTGGTGGGAGACAGCAAACCATGTGTTGAACCATACAAAGAGTGAAGACTGAACAATTTTATGATGCTTTTCTTTGTATCTTGCAACTAAAAAAATCATATGTTAACTATGCCATGTTCATCTGGCGAAGATGGACAAGCCTAATGAAGTAAATGGAGATCAGAAATTATGCTGAATTTTATCATGAATATACATTGCAAGTTTCTGTATTGGTTTAATTTTCTAAATCTTAATTAGTACATTCATGTAAAACAATGGTCGATCAGTTTCAATCTGTCACATACTGGTGCATTTTATATATCGCTTGCGTCAGTGCTGCACCTTATCAGATTATTAGATTACCTTTGACCTGGGATCATTAACTGGTTCAATGAAGGCAGTTATCAATTTTTACTGACTGCACTATACTGGTACACCTGGATACCGGTATTAAGCCACATTGGTGGCCATACCACGTATTGTTATATATCATCCATCCAAGAATCTGTATTATATCATATATGAAGTGGCAAACATTGATAGTGGATAGGAAACAAAGCCAAGGTCTAATTACTACACTGAAGCATGTTCAACATTGATCTGACTGTTTGCATCTGGGAAATTTTCAGATTTTGAACTACTTTTGAAGACTGAAAATGACTGTGCAGCGGCTGTACAAAAGGGTTACATCTCTTCAAAGCTATATGAACTTATTCAAATCATTCGGTCTCTTGGGTAAGGGAGAACTTTTCCTACTTTAATCTGCTTCTTGTAATGTCGACTGCAATCAACTCTTTATTTTTTCTGCAGGATGCCCAGCCAAGTAGTCTGCCTCATCTTTGTTGAAAGAAATATTACTGCTAAAGTTTTGGAAAGGTTTATTAAGAATGTTTGTTTTTTATCACATTTCACTGTGTCATACTTGGCTGGAGGGTCTTCTTCAGTTGACGCACTAACCCCAAAAACGCAAAAGGATATTCTGGACTCCTTTCGTTCAGGGAAGGTATCTGAAATGTATATTATATTTTTTATCAATGTTTCAGTGACTACTCTGGATAATAAACGCAACTATACATAATTTGTTTTTGTAGGCAAATTTACTATTTACCACCGATGTGCCAGATTGTTCATGTGTAATCCGTTTTGATTTGCCGAAAACAGCTCGTAGTTACATTCAGTCTCATGGCCGAGCTCGACAAGCTGGTTCTCATTACGTTATCATGCTTGAACGGTACAATGATCCTGCTGCTTATAATATAATTTATCTTCTGTGTGTCGTCCTGCACCTTTTCTTGTATATAAGCTTATGTAACTCTTTTGATACCTATCAGCACATATCGCAGCTTTATTTTGTCTATAGCTTACTTCCAATACTAAAAAATATGCAGCCTCTAAATATTAGAGGGTGCATCATGAGGCGAGACCCCATGCGATAACCCTAAATAAAAAAGATAGGAAAGGGTCGAGCCAAACTGCCTGAAAAGGATTGAACCAGACTGAACTGGCAGAAAAGGGTTGGACCACATGCTGTTTTGCCATCAGACCTGCAAATAGCAGTATGGACCGGTTCATGCAGTATTCAGAGCTTGGTCTTCATATGCTCATCCCTTTTTATGGTGGCAATTGGTTCTTTTTTTTTTCATTACTAACACTTTATTTTACTTTGGTTGATGAAATTTCCAAAATAAATCTGAGCAAACATATAATCTTTCATATAGTTTTATTGCAAAGTATTCTTCGCAAGCATCTTTTGCATGCATTTTCCCTCTGATTTTTTTTTGTAAGCCAAGGTTCCAGTTACAATATTCTCAGATCATGACAGGACCCAATACATATATGAAAGGCATTTTCAATTTTTTGAGGGCTTAATAAAAGATTTCAGAAGCACAAAAAAGTATTTTTTTGTGCTTCTGAAATATAAACAGATGTTAGTTGCGGTGTTTCAATTTAGTCTAAAAAAATGACTATTTTTGGACTCCATTAGTGGGATTTGCTGTTGCTTGGGTTTAGTGGAATCATTTGGACCTAAGAAGATGGCTTTTAGACTCTCAACTGTCTCAACTATTTGTTAAATTTTCAGCCTTACTTTCAAATAGGTTTTTTGTATAATTTATTCTTAGTGTTTGATAAGCTTTAATCTTTTGCAGTGGGAATTTGCAACAAAGAGATTTGTTATTTGATATCATCAAGAATAAGCATTCAACGGTTGACATCGCATTAAACAGAGACCAAGACTCCCTTGTATCTATAGTGTCTATTAATGAAGATTTAGGTGCTTATTATGTTGATTCAACTGGAGCAAGTGTTACTGCTGACTCTAGTGTCAGTCTCATAAATACATATTGTCAAAACCTTCCAAGAGACAAGTATGTTTTCTACCCAGTGACATCTATGTAAATTTTCTTCTGCACAAAAGAATAAATATATATAGTTTATGAGCCTTTCCATGAGCTCTTAACTGTTGTGTCGTATCATTGATCTAGGTACTTCACTCCCAAACCAATTTTCAGGTACACTTTGGATGCGGGTACTATGAGTGCACAATAACTTTGCCTCCAAATGCTGCAATTCAGACAATAGTTGGTCGAGCTAATCAAAATTCACATGTAGCAAAAAAGCTTGCTTGCCTGGAGGCTTGCAAAAGACTGCATCAATCAGGAGCACTTAATGATCATCTTCTTCCTTGTGTTCAAGAGCACTTGGATGATGTGAAAGCTGAAAAAACTGGGGAATCAGCTAAAGGAGCAGGTATGCACCTCACAATTCATATGGCTTTTCAAAAATCATATGATGTTATATTGGCCATCAGCTATCATGCAGCTAATTTCACATGGCTTTTCAGATTGTGCAAATTATAGAAATTGTTGATATTGTTTAATCAAGTGCAATTGTGTGATTTTGGAGTTGCGTCTACTACCTAATAACCCTTGAAATCAATAGATGGCCTCAGGTTAGAAATGCTTTACCACCAATTTGAGTTGTTAGAAATCTGGACCCTATTTTTATGCAATAGGAAATGCTGGGTCCTGAGTTATTATATAGGTATGCATGTATGCATGCATGGTGAAGATTAATTCTGGACTTGCAGACAACCAATCTTTGTACCTTCACTTGCACTGACAATTTATCGCTTCATTAAATCAAAGAAAAGATATTTTCCTATTTACCAAAAAATCATCTAGTTTGTTGGATCGTGAATGTATTGATATAAATCAAGAAAGGCTTTAGTTTTAATAATGATGACAATTCTAACATCTTTGAAACATGGCTGCCAGTTCTAACATCTTTAATAATGGTGACATACAAGCCCTCATAGCTGAAGGACATTATTTTCTCATGGATCCAGGGAGACGGTATGTGTAATGCATGGTTCAGACTTTGGATCCTTCTAAACTCTAGTGATACTTGCAATCAATTGTTTTGTCAAACAAGTTCCATATTAGAGTTATATTTAAGGTGTAAAGTTGAATCTTTACACAATAATTGAGATCTAGACATATTTTACTGTCGTCTCTCTATTCACCAAATTTGACCAAATTATTTTTCATGAATCAACATCATTGAGGTGAGACGAGGAAATGACATGACAATATATAAGTATATTTAATCAACAGATCTTTTTCCTTCCTAGCATAAGGTTTATATGAGACATTCAGTGCATTGCCATTTTATTGTGCGTATACTAAGTGGAAAATTTTCTCATAATTTGAAGGAACAACGAAGAGAAAAGAATTGCATGGCA